GAGAGGAGGCCTGTGCGTAAATGTATATAGACTCTAACTTTAACTTTTCATCTCATTATTATTCGAAAGATTCAGTAAACTAAATAAAATGAAACCTATTACTAAACCAATAAATTAAAATAACCAGCGAATGACTATTGACAAGGTAAATAAAATTATTCCCCATAAAACACCCATCGCCGACAAAAAGAAGCGTATAGATTGAAACAAATTAATTCAATTGTACATGAGAGCAAGCTATACCAACAAGAACATTGTATAGAAAAACAATTAACTACGGTCTGCAGAGGTATCCAATCATTTTCATCCGCAATATTACGTGAGAGCGATTTTTCGACTCTATTCGCTACCGGTTTTAGACAGCGCGCTCTGTTAGTAATAATGATACGTAGAGGTTTATCAGATAACATTCAACTAGAAAACATTTTACATTTTAATGGCTGCGTTTGCATAATGTGTATGGCTGTAATAATAACCTGTTTTGTTTGTTAAACTTATAAAAATATTTTGTTTACATAGACATACATAGTACTTACATAAGGTTTATAAATTGAGTAAAATTTTAGATTATGTACCTTTGTTTGCTTTCAAAGGAATTTTAATACGACACGTGACATTAAAATATTTATTACAATAATGATGAAAGAGGCATCCTCTTTTTTTATAGAATAAGAGTGAACGCGGGCATGTAGTATACCTGATAATAAGTGGATGATGTGGCCCATAGATATCTGCATCTATCCTCAATTAAGAATCTGCGACTAAGATCCAATATCTCGTCACCAGTAAAAAGTCTCCGGTTTTATACACTTACCATACGAAACATAGCAGCATCGTGCTGCTTTTTCGCGATGGTATTATGTAAGAGCGTGGTCGTACCTTGGTCGAGCCGACCCATTCGTAATGCAACATAATAAAGCTGCGGCCTAGCTTTACCATGTACTTAATAATAAAGATATGAAATAAACGTACCCATAACTAACATTAGAGAGGTACAAAATTATATTTTTTAATTATTTAATTATTATTTAATTAGTATGTTAAAGAACTCTTATAAGTTATGTTTTTTGGGATATTAAGATCGACGAACAACGAAATTGTAAGGGTCCCTTGTATTCTTAGTCTATGTATTTCTGATCAGGTGGTGTCCAAATACAATCCTAGGCAAAAAAGAATAATATTTTTCCCCAAAGCGTCAGTATGTACCCTATTTTGTTTGAAGGGTAAGAAACTTTAAACACGCAGCTAGATACCGCGACTATTTGTTGGAGGTGTGCATTTGATTCTTAACTAACTGCGAATATTATTGTATATTGATTGATTTTTTACTACACAATACATACATATAATATAAAATGTTCAAGTATCAGCGACAGGTACTAGATAACTTCTTGGTTTTCTGATTTTTCAGACCAAGACCGAAATTGAACATTCACAACTGTGTGCTAACACTAATAATTGCTCCGGATAGGATTGACAAAGTAGAAGTGAAACAATTAGTAGCAAAAATTTAACAGAGTTTATAGTACGGAAAGATATACGATATTTACAATATAGTGTTTATACAGAGTACAGAGCCGCGGTATCTCTGGAATCTAGACAACCACGGTCGCCGTTGATTTCACAGTACGCAAACAACTCTAATTCCATCGCCGCCGACACAAATGGTTACACCATTTGTGTCGGCTTGGTTGGCGTTGGTGTTAACCCAAAGATTTAAAATCTTTGAATTACCCATGTACTCTGAGATAAAACAAAACATCATGAGGCAACCTGCATGTCTATGGAATAACAATTTGGGAGGGCATGAGGAACAATGTGCATCGGAACTAAGCGACGACGACTAGTTGTTCCATCATCATCATCATCATTAAAGCCCTTCACAAGTCCACTGCTGAACATAGGCCTCTCCCAAGTAATGCCACAAAACACGGTCCTGAGCCACCTGCATCCATCGACTTCCTGCATGTCTTACCAGGTCGTCACTCCATCTAGTGGGGGATCGCCCTACACTAATTATGTAATAATAATAATAATAATTGTTTCATAACCTCTCAGAAATAAGGAGTGTTATTATGCCTAGCAGTGGGGTGTATATAAATCGTAATAATTTCTAATGTTTACACAAAAACTACACATTTAAATAAAATAAATTTTACGGGCGACACCGCGAAAAATGCACCTCCTTTCATCGAACAGTATAGGACTATGACACCTCTAACGAAATCCTGACGTAAATCGGCTATGAATAAATACATACTAACGAAACTGCAATTTTGATACAGGTAAATTCAAGTCTTAATCTTGAATTTGATTGTTCAAAAACACGATTGTATAATTTTGACTCGATCATAATTATTTACGAAAACAACTCTAAAAAATCACTATAGTTGAAATTACAACGAAATTACTTAATTTATGTGCTTTAGAATCACTCAAATATATTCATAACATCAATATTATTTTGGTTACTTACTTCAATATTTTTTTAAATATTTTAAGATTCTGTCAACTTCTAGCGGTCCTAATCGTCGCGGGTGCTAGCTAAGTTTAGACCTTGTGACGGCGTTAAGTTTTTATAGAAATTATGTATTCACTCGGATCAGTACGGCGATACCCCTGAGCCATTTTAAACGTTAATTTTCGATATGTCGTCTTAACATAACGTAGCGTAGATATGTATTTTAACTCGCGTATATTATCGTGAAGAAGTCCGAAAAAACTAATCTTATTTAAATATAAGCCGTAACTCTACGTTTTACTTTGCTTTATTCACATTATAACAGCTTGAAACTAACGTACTAACTAAATGTTTCCATAGAACAATTTATTCAGAGCTCATTGTTAAAGAACCCGTTGATGGTTCAGAAATGTTTATATTTGAACTTACCTGTACCTTTAATTGTAAAAACTTTTTATATAATTTTAATTCAAAGTTGAAATCCTGACGTTGAAACACGAAAGACGGCTTTAAGTTTAAATAAGAATTCGTAATAAGATTGCGAGCGTCGCGTCGCTTTCATGGAAACAATACCTTCAGTATTTGAGGTTTAAGTGTGGCAGTGAGCCTTCTTAATTTACATCCACAATTTGATATCCTTCAGGTTTGTTAAAACTTGTATATATTTGAATCACAAATAAAATAAACAAATATTTAGAATCCAATCTCATAACGAGATAATTTATACTATTTTAACATACATTACATACACACATATGTGTATACGTACATATACCGTATAGTGGTTACGTACATGTACCGTTGACTGCCTCGTTGGTCTAGTGGTTGTAGTAGTGAGACTGCTGATCATGATGTCCTGGGTTCGAATCCCGGGTCGGGCCTAAAAATCAATTATTGAGTTTTTCTGTCAAGAAATTCTCAGTAGCTGCCCGGAGTCAGGAAGTTGGCGGTGTCTCACCCCCGTGTCTCGGAAAGCACGTAAAGCCGTTGGTCCTACGCCTGATCTCTCTCGGTCGTGTCGGTTTACCGTCCCATCGAGTTTCGATTACGAGAGTAAGGGAGTAAAGAGTGCACCTGTGCTTGCGCATACACTTGGGCACTATAATCATGTCCTGCGCCAATGGCTAGCCTCCGTTTAGGCAGGCTTCCGTGGCCGAAATTCGATCTGGAGGACATTATTATTAATTTTGGTGTGTGTGGGTGTCCCGTGGGTTTCGTAAGAGGTGACAGAGGGAAATTGAAACAGGTGATGGCAACAGCATCTTTTATCATCTCAAAATAATAAAAAGGCAGTTGCCAACCCGCCTGTCATGCGTGACAACTATAGCAAAATCCCCTTTATGACAATCTATGGAGGGGGCCTATGTTCAGCAGTAGAACTTTACAGGCTGTAATATATAGATGGATGACATACATATGATGCCTGTCGCGTAGGTTACCCATACACCTCTCTCGACTCTCTCATATCACGCACGTATATCGACGTTTATATGATCGTCAGTTAAAGGTGCTACTGGTTTAGCCTACCTTCGAGGTATCGCCAATTTGGTCGTTAATTTTCTGTCTGGAACGTCCCCCGCCGATACTGCCACTTGTTCAGTGATTTATTGTTCCAATTATACGTGACCTTTTCAAAAATGATACTGAGTATTTTATCTCAATTGATAACCACCGATGGACTTACTACTTATAAAAAAATACATTTTTACAACTTTGGATAAAGATACCAAACATTTTTAATAATAATCTTTGAACCACGTGCTCGGAAAAACATCGTAAGAAAATCTGCATGTCTGAGAAATAAGAAAAACAAATTATTCGAAGACTTGTAGTTCGTCAACACGCACTGGGGTAGCTCGGCGGACACTTCCTTGTCCTAGAAACCCTCTCAGAAATGAGAGAAGGCATGTGCCCAGCAGTGGGACGTATTCAGGCTGTAGCTTTAACTTTTTAATATCTCTGGACAATAATTAAGCACTGTTTTCGCCGACAATATCACGTTTGTAATGTTTTAACTCTTCAGAGGTCTTCAGAACTTAGAAACGTTCAGAAGTCAGTGCTAATAAATAACACAACATTTATAAAAGGCCCGGCTTCAGAAGCTATGAGAATATTATTTTATAGTTTTAAGTTATTTTAAGTCGGCTCTTAATTTTTATTAAAAGTATAGTTTTTGATCTTTTTGCGTGAACTAAGAAATACCACAAGTCTGAATGTCGTTTAGATTTAAAATTTAAAGCACTAAATCCTCATCATCCGATTATTCAGCCTTTACTGTTGAAAGATTATCTACTCAAATTTTTATGTGACCATTACAGAAGTCCTAGTCTTCGCTTAATTACTTAAATAAAAATCGTAAACATCGGTACAGAATTGATGAAGCTATAACGTAACGTTCATATAAAAACAGACATAATATAGTCGAATTGAAAACCTAATTATTTCTGTGAAGTCGATTAAAATAGGGTTTATGAATTCTTTAAATTATAAAGTCACACAGCTTAACATTCATATTTATTTAATTTATAAAATATTGGCTTTAGTTTCGTGTTACTTCATAATTGTATAAATTTCTTAGTTTATTTTTAAATCTTACAAACTTAGACACTTCTTTACTCTTTATCCCAGTTACAGTACGATTGCTATCTATGATGAAAATCGGCTCGGCTTTCTCTTTTTTACTAAGATCCACATTCCCGTCCACCCGATTAACAAAGTAAATTGTTGGTAAATTTAAATCAGTCGCCTCATTTACATCTTCTATGGGGAAAACGACGTAAATGACTGTCGGCAAAGCGTCCTTTTTTCTTCCTAATTTAACGTTATTTGGTGCCGTCGCAACTAAAATATTATACGCATCAAAATGCTGCTTAATCACAGGAATATTAATGAAGTTGGCATTTTCCCAAGCTCGTGTTTCATTTGTTTGGTTTTTAAAGTTTTTTAAAGGATATAATAACTTTGCTATCTGATTGGTACATCCATTAGCCGGCTCCGCTGGGTGTGCGAAGATTGCCTCTGAAAGGACTTCTCGGCGTTCCGAAATATGTGTTGGATCTTGTGGAATTTTCGCAAAGACGGCGCCGAAGGATTTTAATTTATTTTCTTCTTTCACAGAAATGGGGTTAAATTTTAGACTGAATCCGTTGCTGAGTGGCAAACATTCAATTTTTTTCATGAGTAAAATCAGCAGCAGCGCGAGGATAATCTGTGGAATATTCAAAGACTATTTGAGAACATTTTCTTTTTTTTTATATTGGAACGTTTTAGTGTAACTATTTTAGAATAACGATCATACAAAAACTAATTTTCAAAAACGTTCCAATTCAATTTTTTTTCATTTAATGGTTTTTAATTCATTAATATAATATTTAACATTATAATAAATAACTTAACTAAAATAATAATTAAAATTATAATTTTTACGATTAAAACTAATTATATATACAATATAAAAGAAGAAACTATAATATAGAAAACCTAAAACTAAAAATTTAAATCGTCAAAAAGACCTGCTCCCCGTGGTATAGTGCCAAGAACGCTGGCTGCGTTTCCTTTCTATTTTACCTTTAACACAACATACCACCATCGTCATCCACATCCTTCACCTATGAACCCCTTACCTTCTTTCTAAAATACCTATGGAGTAACTCATTTATCTTCTGTATTTATACAGTCTTAGTACTAAATTACACTTAGTTATTATTGAAAATATCGTATATTCTTTATATATATAAATTACGTGTCACGTTGTTTGTCCGCGATGGACTCCTAAACTACTTAACTGATTTTAATCAAATTTGCACACCGTGTGCAGTTTGGTCCAACTTGAGAGATAGGATTTTTTTTTGCCCGTGAGTGACCCACAATTTTTTTTGCAAATTTCAGGATTTTTTAAGACATGGCAAAGGGTCGCCGAAAAGAGCAGAAGGTCTGCCTGGCAAGCTAGTATGAGATAAAACTAAAATTCTTAACAAGCATGTAGAGACGTTGTAAGAATGACCTCATATCGTCCTGTGGTTGTCGTAAGAGACGGGACAAACCGGGACATATGCTGTAGCGGCTATGTAATAATAATAAAAAAAAGGTGCGTGTAATTCTCTACACACGTACAAAGTCAAACTTCCTTCTTTTTTTAATTTATCACTCAAGAAAACCGTACTTAGTTTACTTTGTAAAATAATTTCGTACATTGATACTGAAGTTTCACTACAAACATTAAAAAAACTGCGTTTGCCGATTCGCTTTTTAAAAGTGGCACCTATGGCTAAATTCCCCTATGATGCAACTTATTGGGAGGCCTACTTTCAGCAGTGGAATTTTGATAAGCTAAAACAGTAACGGTAACAGCAAAATTCTTATTAATACTTCGGACGATATGGTGTAGTGGATATTCTTACACCAATACTACACGGTTTCTACGGATATACCTGTCTGTATAATCAAAGCCTTCCAGCGTCTTCCACGCATCATTGTATCATCACTCTATCTAATGAGGATCTTCCTTCACTGCACTTGCTTGTACTCAGCTAGCACAGAAGAATCGTTGGAAAATTTTATGAGCTATTTTACTATGTAAGTTACTCTGGTCGTATTACGGATATCCTCCTTAAGAATTCTATCATACAGAAAAACTTCAAAAGTATATCGCTTAGCGACTTGGAACTTCCTGATACGGCATCTCACCATATATCATCACTCTTTGTTGCTAGTTATGGGAATATATTTCTGAAAAAATACTGTATATTTTTTTTTAATAAAGAAATCACTAGAAATGATATTAACGTTACTAATATGCTCTTTACTACCTATGGTAAGCTTAAAATGCTTGTGTTAGGAATAGTTCACGACAGTAGTCTGATTCGAACTCAAGACTATTGAATTCTTGGCCCGCACTCTGCCAATAGACTACTGTGGCTTTATAATAATAGAGAAAAGGAAGATTTATTGTAATTTCCTGAAAACTGCTCCGCCGGTTTAGATGCGTCGATTTAACATAATACTTAACTATATACTAACAAGTCTTCAAGACATAAACACATCAAAACAATATTAAAAAGACATATATATATAATAGATATACCTAATAAGATAATTTTATATTTTTAATATTCTACAACTCACACTTTTGGAACATAGAAACGATACAGGCATGCTGACACTGTGTGGGCAGAAGTCAAACGTACACTGCAAATTATCTCGATAACATAATGTTACTCAACTGTAAGAGTTCATTGTTAAGTTTGTTTTGAGATAACACATTAGTTCGGGATGTTTAGAAACACCTAGGAAGCCTCAACCATAAACTAAACTCAGAAACATAAACTCGGCCACTCTTGTTTCACTATCAACAATTGTATTATCAACGCATTAATACATCTGGGTAATTTAATTTGAAGAAAAAACGAGGCATTAGTAAAAATTTTGCAGTACTCAAGAACTTTCCTATCCTTATCATAGCTTTAGTAGCACCTACTTTGCGTCATGGTGTAATATTTTGTGGTTACTTATACCAAAATAAAAGAATCTTTATAAGGAAAAAGATGCTTTAAGTCAATGAAAAACAGCTGTGTGCGACCCATTAAATTACTAACCCAACCAGTTATTTATAGGTTAGAAATGTGTATATTTGTAAAATCCAATCCACATAATATGTTTACAAAATTAAGAAAACAAGAAAGAAAGTAGAACAAGTAAGATCGCAATACTGGTTAAAGTTAACAACTGGTGGACACAATACTACCATGATAAACAAAAAAATTACAATAAAATGCCAAATAATTTCAGGTTTTATGTTGTAAAACTGATATTGAAAACAAATTACATTTTTTATATATGTGATTGAATGGAATAAAATTAAATTAGATAATTTTTTTAAATATTGTAATCTCCATAAAGTTTCATACGTCTGAATCAATTCTGTAAACACTTCCTCAAGCCCACCACAGACACATTTTTTCTACAGCCTGCCTTCAATTCTCCTACTTTCAATCTCCTCCATTAAATTTTTATGATTAATTAAAGAGATGAGCCGGTTGTAGCATGTTTCCAGAGCAACCACTTCTTTCAAAGCTTCCTCAAAGTTAGCCGATTTTGATCAAATTAATTATACCAGCGGTACTCGGTTGGCTTTACCCGTAAACACTATTTCCAGTCTATCAAACGATTAGTCCACCAGGAGAAAATATTCCCGACGCCAAACGATTTTTAAATGTAAATCGACGTCAAGCAATTTAGCTCTTAAAATATTTGGAAATAAGAAGATTCGTGTATTATTGGTAAATCATCCTTTACTTTAATATATTATAAGTGACCAGGTTAGTATAAAAAATACTTTCTATCGCAAAATTATGCGGGGACTTGCCATCCCGTTGCCACTTCAGGAAACTGATCATTTGGGAATTACAATGATACGAGTATTTCATTGTAGAACAACTATATCTTCTCAGCTATTTGTCACAGATAACTAAGTCAGGGATATTGGTTTTCCATAATTCGCAACTCTTTATGGGTAGGTAGAAGGTACCAACCTAAATCAATTTAAACCTAAACAAATTTAATAATATACCACAGAAATCGTAATAATAAGACAATAGAAGTCCAATTGCCGCGTGGCCTTGTCGCCACTATGATGTGTTGACGAACATCATTCAACATTTTGTGATTTACGTCGTACGTGAATTTATGTTATTGTAGTAGTAAACTGCAGCATAGTCGGTAGTAAAAACTCCTCAAGGATGTGTAATGCAACTAAGGTTTAACAATTCATCGGGAAGATGATTATTTACTAATTGCCATTGTTTTAACTAATTTACATCTAGGAATACTGTACTATGATATTTACCTTTGTAAACTTTCATTTATTACTTTTCCTATTTCACAATTACCATTGCTGCTTTTGTTCTATCGTAATACGCGACGCACGCAACGTTGACAAACTCACTAAGCAATTTAATGTGAAACGTTAGATATCATTGTGCATTGCTTATGTTTATAATACGGGTGCAGGCATCGGTCGATTAATTCGTATGTGTTAAAATGTGGCGATATCGATTTTGAAAGTAATCGAGCGCTAATTCATTTCTATTGTCTTATTATTTCTATTTCTGTATAATATAAAATAAAAAACAAACTGCCATAAAAAACGTCACCTATTAAGGACTTTTTATACAGGAAAGGATGACAATAAGCACACAGTTCATCTCTGCAATCTGCAACGATTATCCATACTTAAAATGAAGTTATCGGTCCCTGTGGGTTGTGAAGGGCCCAGGTTCGACAAAGATGCATGAAAAGTATTTTGAAGTAAAAATCCCTATCGTTGTGAAACGCGATGAAACAAAAAAGCGACACTTATAACTTGGTCTGCCAGAAAATGAGTAAGAATATTAGTAGTATTTAGGCTATCTACTATCTATGTTCCTTACCTTGAGAGTCACTTAATTTTTACTCGATAAAATGACTTTACCTACAGAATGAAGTAGATGGCACTATTACAAAGTTAGCAATTTTACTCGAAAGAAATTCTTTCGAATTATTACACTAAAATTTAGACTAAAATCTCTAAAAGAAGGATTGACATTTATCTGCTCTGAAATTAAACTTTTATCTTATATTTTATGCCGCACTCGTGGTCCAAATTATTATTATTATATTAAATTAATCCTTTGCCGTGAAATATTTAAATTTTATATTTCATTTCATTTGAAAGTTTCACTACTACTGCATGTGTTCTACACTACACACATGTCTTTTTTCAGACTTACAGACCACCTTGTGGTAAGTGAGGGTGGACTAGAACACTGAAAACACCTACCTACATCTTTCCTTGGCCGAGAATCAAAATGTACAGACGTCATCCTAGGGTAGGGATGAAACAAAACGAGTAAATATAAGTACTTACTCAATATATTCCTTCCGATACCAAGTACTTTTTGTATCGATATTTTAAAACTAAGTATCAAGTGTAACTCGCGGCACGAAAGTCTAGCGGTGACCGTTATTGCGCAAATTGGCCGTATTGCGCATTATTGCGTATGATTGACTGTGCGTATCGTTCACACGCGCTGATTGTTCTCCAGTTGCATTCCGTCCCCCGTACTGATACACTTTTCGCAGCTACCTCCCCCCCCCCCACGTTTCGTTTAACACTATAGTTACGTGCCGCGACTTATAGGTATCGGTCCAAAGTATTTGTATCGGTAATCGGTATGCTTATGTGACGATTTTATTTTAACATATTGATGGATAGATAATATACTCATCTATGGTATATAGCAAAAAATATTTTTATGTGTCATATTATATTGAAATTTTTGAACGCATCCTAGTCCTAGTTTAGTTAGTTTTGTGTAATTGGCAAGTTTTTTAGTCCGAGAGAAAAGAAAAAATCTTTATGGGAGACAATTTCGTAGTGCGCCTTAAAAAGATTTTTTGGGGCGCGTCACAACTCGACTCTTTTCATTGAATTCTTTTTATGACTTTTATTTTCGTATCGATAGGAATATCAATACTTGTTTTTATTTAGCTTCTTTTAAATTCTACAAATAAAAATCTATCGATACGAGTAAGTATCGATACCCCAGTGGTATTGTTTCATCCCTACCCTAGGGGGCTTAGATAGATTGCCTCGTTACCAGTAAAAAGGATCTCCGATACCATACACTCACTAAACGAAACATAGCAGCATTAGGATGTTATATTTAACACTGGTATCTTGTGATAGCGTGGTACATTTCCGGTTGAGCCAACCTATTCTTGCTGCAACCATAAAATAATTGAAGCATGGCTTTATTACGTTTTTATTTACTATCACAGGATTATCGAGAATATTTTGTAAATCCTTTTGTGAAAGCCTGGTATGATCAGGACTACAGGTTTCAGCAAATCTTCATGGTGATTTACAGCAGTTAAATTGATGTGCACGACCCACTTGAGATCAGTTCTCCCGCAGAGGCGTACATGGAACATAATTGTTCCTTAAAACTATCATTGCCTATCGTAATGTTTGGCCGCGATTGCCTCATGATAATGCTGGTATCTGAAGTGCCTACGAGCGTGAAAGTTGATTTCGCAGTCTGGGATGAGAAGAATTCGCCATACTGTTCTAAGTTTTCTGCCCAGGAAACATTATAGAGCCGTAATTTTTGGACCCCGCAAGTGCGGTCGCTTGATACGCTACGCCCATAAAATGGAATGAAATTTATTTACAGAAATTATTTGTTATATTATTTTTCCATACTTTGAAGTTGATTTCTTTTCTCCAAGTTCATATGGTACTACCCCTAAAGTAGGGCCTGGTTAATAAAATAGAATCAATATAATTGGTTCACAATTGAAGAAGATTTCGTGTAACATATGAGTACATCCAAAAAAATCATTTGGTCGAATTGAGAACATTCTTTCCTTTTTTAAATCAACTAAAAACAATAAGTACCTGCAATTATTTACGAATTTCATTAAACATTATATTCAATCGACTGGATGTGAATAAATTTACATAAATTTAGGTGATTATGAACTGAAAGAAAACTTGAAAGGCAAAGGAAATTTTAACTGAAAATATTTTACTAAAATGTATGTTTTAACACCAATTAACATAATTACAAGTCTCAAAAAAACTGTGGAGATAAATATTTGCTAGCTGAAACTATTTTAAAGCTGCAGCCTCTAATTAAAAAAGGTACGTGAAAATGTTCGCTCGGCGAACGAACTATCGCTTTAATGAGATTTACCGTCTAAATTTTATTTTGTTTCAGTCTTCAATTGAGCTGTCGTAGGAAATAATAAATTGGAAGAAACTCGTTGTCGTAATTAAATTTAAAGCGACTATAGTTTCTGTGAGATATCGGATTCCATTCGGAAGTTGGGGTCTCCAAAATGGTCGTTTTGTAAGCGTCCACAGCTTCTTCAGGTGATGAAAATCTCTGTCCACGCAATTTATTCTTTATTTTAGGGAAAGTATATAAATCATTAGGGCTTAGGTCGGGGCTGTACGGCGAGTGGTCTAATAATTCTATGTTTTCTTGCTCTAAAAACTCTTTTGTTCTGTTTGCGGTGTGAGAACTCGCATTGTTGTGATGAAGGATGATGCGACGGTTGCAGTTCTCTTTACGAGGTTCAGAAACGACCTGTGGCAAACAAATGCTAGCATA